TTATACCTAGAATTAGATATTTAGTTCTTGTTAATTATATAAACACCATAATCAATAATAACAAGACGATAATCAGATAATGAACGCGACTAAAATATGATTCAATTAAACGATCTCTTGGAGCAAAACATTGCTGTGACGCAGCAGTATTAAGTATGGATTTTTTTTTGTTAGTATGAGCACATTATTATTTGTAATGTTTATAATTATTTTTTGCACTAATCGCACTTATCATTCAAATACATATTCAAGCTGTTTGAATAATACTTACAACTTCATCAATTATAGTGAAAGGAATTTCTTTTTTTTTTCCTGTTTATAATTGTAACATTAAAGTGCATATATAGAAGATATTGAATAGAAATTATATAAGACTCAGTCTCTAACCAATCGAACTATTCGAAGAAATACTAACTAAAGAACATGTTGTTCTACGCGCTTGTAGTTAGTGCAATTAGTGTTGCAGTAATTGGATTATCCGCAACTGAAGAACCTACGCTTCGTAAGATCTTTTTATGAATCCTTTATTATAATTTTCTTAATGACATTATTATTATGTATCTGCACTTCATTTTGATATATTATTTTATTTTATTTGTAAAAAAATTTATTAAATAAAATCAATATAGAGTAGATGTAAAATAACTTCAAGAGATATATAATATATATTCAAATTAATGAGTATACGAGTATATAAATGAATAGATATTCTAATACAGAATCAAATGTGGAGATCAACTTCATTGAATTATCTAAAGACTCCTAAAACAATTATTTTGTTATATTCATGTAATTCGTTATAAAGAGTTATTTCTATTTATTGAACATCCATTTTGTGCTTTTTTTAAGTAAGTATTTGTTCTCATTTATTGCTTGCGAGTAATAATTTCTACATACATAGGAGCCATCAGTACAAATTACAATAAAGTTATTTAGTACGTTAAAAAAAATTAAAAAAGATTTTTCTCTTTGGCACTAGCAATATAAATATCTGTCAGTATATATACGCATTTAACAAAAAATAATTATCCTATAAATCACATTTTAAATTATCGTCTATTGTTACAATAATTGCTTTGCTTTGCATTTTTATATTTTTATTGCGCGCTATACTATTTTACTCTATTTCTATTTCAATTTAGCTGTAACTACCTGCAAACGAGATTCAGATGATTATTCTGCCTGTTTAAAACGTGCTGTAGAAAAAGCATGGTCGCGATTTATGGCAGGGATATTTTTAAATATTCTTTAACTTTTTATTATTCTAATTTATATTTATATTTTGTAAATAAAATATGTTAATTACTACACAACACCATTGCATCACTGCAAAGGAAAAAATATATATATTACGTATACAGGTACATGTACATAATCAACATTAATGGTAAACTTATATATATAAATACATACAATTTTTAATTTTTGTAAGACAAAAAGAATAATAATTTTTCTAATCACTTTGAAATACTGATTTTTATTAGTTTATTTGTCTTGATAGGATTACCAGAATTTGACTTTCCACCTTTGGATCCATTAGTTTACAAATATGGTAGAATGGTTCTTAATTCTGCTGAGATACGAGGAGAATTAATTATATCAAATCAAACTTTTGCTGGGATATCAAAGACTCGTATTTTTGATGTAAAAGCGTATTTTCTTGATGACGTTTTCCATTTAGAAATTGACACACTAATACCAAAAGCGTTTTTAAAAGGTGCCGCAAAAATAAATGGCTCTTTAAATATATTCAGAGTTGTTAATGAAGGTACGATAATTTTATAACCAGCTGCATAACAAAGAATGTTATATATTTTAAGTATTTATATATACGAGGTGTGATCAAAAAATACGATGAATGTTGAAATAAAAAGAAATATATTAAAAGACAAATAACAATTTTTCCCCTTCAAAATACTCCCATTAACTTCTAATACACTTATCCCAATCGTTCTTGCCACTTGCTAAAGCAGTACTGGAAATCCTTTTTCATAAGTGCCTTTAGTTGCGCTGTCGTGGCTGCCTCAATGTCTTGAATTTATTTGATAGAAAACGTTTATAGTAAACTCTGAATATTA